AAAAGAAAAATGACCAAAATACACTTTTAGTTTTTTAACTTTACATAATATTTTGTTAGTCCTTTAATTTTAAAAAGTAAAGTTTTAATCCTTTAATTCTAAAACTATTAACAAAAAATAATGATATTGAACTCTTTAGTGTTAATAAAATGTTACTAAATACTAACATATTAAATTTAATTTTCAAAACAATTATGATTGTTATAAAAAATCATCATTTAAGACTAATAATTTTACGGTTAAAAGACCAAAAGTATACCACTTAAAGTTAAGGGACCAAACTAAAACTTTACATAAAATTAAGGGACCAAATATATATTTTAATCTAAAAAAAAATTCACAGGTTTCATCACAATTCTGCAATTCTCTACAAAAGAAAAAGGAGAAAACATAGAAAAATGATTCTTTTTTATTTTTAAAAACAGATTATTATTACTACTACTACTACAAAACAGGTAAATGAAAAATAATTATCAAACAATTTTTTATTTTTTGTTTTCAAAAGCGAAAATTTGTTCTGAAAATTGGAAATCAAATAAAGCCTTAGTTTTTATTTTGTACTTTTTATTATGATTTAAAATATATCTTATTTAAGTTAATATTTGAATAATTAAACATATGTTAATTTACTTAAGTTAATATTTGACCATGACCAGACGTCCAGACCTTTGACCATTGAACCATTGTTTTGACAATTCCCACAACTTCTTCAATTTTTAATATCTTGAAAGGTCCATATGTCAAGGCCGAAAAAAAACTTTATATTATTTTACATTTTAATTTAAATTCACTAAAGTACTCATTGTAATTTTTTAATAATTTCTTGCCATTTTCATATTTTAAACAACTAGCAAAGGAAGACAAAGCCATTGGAAAAGTAAATTATAAAGGCAACAAAGATGACAAAGCCATTTCCCGGCATGAGTTGTGAGCATCTGCTGTTTGTCATGAATGTGAGATTATTGAAATTAAATTGGGACAACTTCACATTTTAAGTTATTTCATTTTTTTAGATTTTTTGAAAACTTAATTTTTACTTTTGATAGATAAGAAATCTAAATAAAAACAAGGGTCAAAGTGCATTCAGCATCATAAAATATCTTTTCAGATATATCGAGTATCCTAAAATATTTTATGATTCATCCAGCTTTCATGTGCTTTTAACCTTTTGGCATATTAAAATATTTGGTAGCGTAATTTTACTTTGAATGTATTGATTTTTTTAGAAGCATTTGCATTTTTAAAATATCTTTTTAGGGACAAATTTTAACCCTGCCCTTAACTCCTAAAAAAAATTCGTTAAATAAATGTGCATTAAAATATATTTTTATGTCTGTTGAACACATAAAAAATACTTGAAGTAGTAGATTAACCTTAACTCTGAAAATAATTTTATAACTATGATTTTTAAAAATAAATTTATTATTATCAAAAATTACAAATTAAAATCTTTAAATTTAGAGTCTCACTAACCTCGTTTCTACCCACGCAAAGTGCTTTTGGAAAGCAATAATTTTTCGATAGTGAGTTTTGACACTTGGCTCTTGATTTCCCATTAACTTTATCTTTTTCGGTTGATAATATCATTCATTGCCATCATCTGTTTTCCTTTTCCTTTTTTCTTTTAACTTTTTTAAATCTCTCTTGAAATATGGATAAAATGTTTGAAATGTTCCTTAGTCAAATTGTGATTTGATCTATTAAATTTGAAGTTATCATTCACTAAAGTGAACTTGTCATTTCCCATAGTCAACTTGTCATTTGACATACCCTCAGTCAAGTTGTGATTTAGTCTACTGAAGTTGTCATTCGCTAAAGTGAACTTGTCATTTCTCATAGTCAACTTGTCATTTGCTTGAGGGGCATTTCAGACATTTCACCACGATTTTATATTTGCAAAAATAAGACTGGGTTTTTATTTGCTATTTTTCAAATTGAGAGTTCTGAATCGTAATTTTACATATTCGGGGTCTTTATTTGTAATTTTTCCAAAAGTATATCTTTTTTTCTTTAATTTTACGCAAAATTCTATTTTAATAATTTAGTTTTAAAAATTGTCTTTTCAATCAATTCTTAAAATGAAAAAAATATTGATATTATAATTTTAAATCTTAATAAAAACATGAACATTCATAAATACTCACATATTAAATTTAACTATTTAAAATACTAATGATTGATTTAAAAATAATTATTTGCAGTCAACGTGTTAGGATTAATTAGAAAACTAAAAAGACAATTTATAAAATTAACGAACGAATTCGAAACTTCTATAAGATTAAATGACCAAATGTACATTTTTACCTTTTTAAAATAACAAAATGATGTGACGATTGGGCTGGTAAAAAAAAAATGTGGCTATTGGAGGATTAAAAAAAGTACTTTATAAAATTAATAACCAATTAAAACTTTGCATAAAATTAATAGTTAAAGCTATGCTTTTGTGTATATTATTTTAATATATAAAACTAAGAATATCTTAATTTAATAACAGCAATTTTGATGATAATCTTATCACATTGAGCCGTTAACTAGGGATTCATCAGTCTAACAGATCCAATTATTATAATACTATAAATCACATCGCCTATGAAACAGCTTGCAGCTGTTCAACACCTTTTAATTTTTTTTGGGCCAAAAAAATCAATTTTATTAATATCAAAAAATAGTACAAACACCAATAACCAAAGATCAAAATAAACTCCCAAAAAACCTAAGATATAACCTAACACACAAAATAATGAAAATAAAAAAAATACCAACAAGACATAAACAACTAGAACCCAAAAACAATTAGAATCCAACTAGAAACACGGATTCAGGTTAAAAAAAAAAAAATAGAAACACGGACCACGTCAGCCAATGCCTTCCCCTGGAGCCTTACAACTTACAAGTACATGCATTGCCCTTAGATTCCCTTCCTTTGGTCACGTCATGAGCTAAAAACATGCTTAGAGAGAACGGGGCATAGGCTAGCCACTCATTGTGGTACATCCTGCCAAAAAATCAACGGCTTTATTACTTCTTTCTGAGACAGGCGAAGCGCTTTTATTACTTTACAAAAAAGTAGAAGACTTGTAGAAGTCTTGACTTGCTTTTCTTTTCTTCTTGCTACTATTTCTATTGCAACATCCTTAGCTTCTTCTTCTATCTCTTGCGCTTTGCTACTGCGTGATTCTGCAAACTGCTTCTTCCTCGTCCTTCTTCCTTCGCCCCTCACAGAGTTACTTTCTCCAAACTGCAACAACGAACATAAATGGAGTTTGGGATCTCAATCTCTAAACTTTTATATCTTTTCTTATTTGGATGCTTCGCTTTGAAAGCTTTCACAAACTGTGGATCCGATGCTCAACTCATACCAGAAGATGAAGGTTTCTTAATCAACCCCTTTCTGTTTTTCTTACTCCTTAGTATATACTATATTACTCAGCATTACGATCGATTCTTCCATTTCCATTTGTTTTCTTACTATTCAAAGAAAATTACACAAAAGAAAGGGGTCAACATGATGGTTGATCTGAACAAGCAGTGATTAAAAAACTGCAGTAACTTTCGAGACTCCCCCCCCCCCCCCAAGAAAAAAGAGGGAACTACGTAATTAAACTGATTCGAACATTTTCGTTCCTTCTTTCTTTCTTTTGCTTTCTGGCCAACAAGATTCCAATGGTTGAAAACTATAGTGATTTGTTTTATTCATTTATTTGTCAATGCTTTAATTTAATGCTAATATTAAATTCACTCTTCTCGTTTGCACAGTTAGGTTATCTAACGACAAACATATTCCATGCAAAGAACTATATATAAGTAATCAATCATATTTTTTTGGCAACCTGGATAGATGAATAAAGCTTAGTAATCTCTTTTGCATGCACAGAATATGATAGAAAATTATGTTTTATCAGTTACTTGTAATGTATTAATACAAAATATTTTATTAGCTTAATTTATATGATTGTTATAATATCTGAATAATTTAATCCTCACGCCCATGAAACTGAAATCAATATAAACAATCTACTTTAATTTAAACTCATTCTCTCTTTCCATAACACCCAATTCATTTTGATTTTCTTATACTATTACTATATATTGTATTCGCCGCAGTCTTCTCGTATTTATAATTTATAAAATGTGTGAATAGTCGTTTATCAATCTTTCTTTTTCTGAAATAAAATAAACCAAAAAAGTTCTGAAAAGTTATATTAATTATTTTTAATATTTTTATATATTTTGAGATATATCATTATAAAAAGAACATAAAAGCTATGTTTTCATTAATAATTTGAAAACTTGTAAACCACAGTTATAAAAAATGGTAAAATAAATAATTATATTATTGTATATTAATTAGGCTAAAATACGTAAAACCCCCTTATCTTTGGGTCAGCTGCACATCACCTCTCTGACTTTTAAAAATTTAACTTAAGGATCTTGATATTTCATGTTTTGAATTTCAACTCCCCTACTGTTAAAATTAGCTTTGAAGTTAACGATTTCTAACATGTCAGGAGTTTTTTTATATTTTTTATTATATACCATTTTATTTTTTAAAAAATATTTAATATAATATTTTAAGATTTTCAAGCTTTTTATTTTAAAAAGACATGGTCAGATAAATATTTTAAATATTTTTTAAGCATGTTGTATTTTTTAAAAATAAAAAATTATAAAATTGCACGTGCAGCAAGTACTTTGAAATTTCTTTATATATATATATATATATATATATATATATAAGGATTACAGATGTCTATGAACATAGAATATAGATGTTGAGGTTCTTACTTTATGGTGCATGATTTTTTTTTATTTTTATTTTTTTGAAAAAACTGGATTGTGTTTGATGCAGTGAAAGTTCTAAAAACAATATCATCGAAGATAGAGAACTTGAATTGGAATGCGACGCCACGTTCCTGTGTCGATGAAGGCTTCAAAAATGAGATCTTTGATATGCATATCATGAGGAATGTAGCATGCAATTGCAGTTTCTCATTTGGCAAAGTTTGTCATGTTACAAATATGTAAGTTCATCTATGTATATGGTTATAACGTAACCCTTTCAATTTGGGTACAAATCAAGCTAGCTCCAGTCTGAATTAATAAGTTGTGTTTAATGAGTTCCAAATAATGTCGAAAAGTTTTCTCTATTATTTTTTGTTCCTTTCTTGATTTGAAACTAGTTGATTTGATATTGAGATACATTTTTATGATATTTAGAACAAGTTAGGTCTGGCTGTGTCACAATAAAATTAATATTCAAATGCATATTGGTGCTATTTTTTTTGGCCAACGTATTGACGCTAATTATAACACAACTTATTTTATTTTAGCTCTATGTAAATAGTTGTAGTAACGTGTTTTCTTTTTATGATAGCTCTGTCAAGGGTCTCAATTTATCGGGACTTTTACCAAGTGAATTTGGATTCCTTACCTATCTGCAAAAACTGTAAGTAATGAACTTTTTTTTAATTCTATTATTGGTTTAAATATATATATATATGTGTGTGTGTGTGTGTGTGTGTATGCTTAGATAAAGTGTGGGAATTTGTGATCTACAATATAACTTTTATATATGGTACAGTGATTTGTCTAACAATTATCTAAATGGATCAATCCCAAGGAGCTTTGCTAGACTCCCTCTTGTCACATTGTAAGTGATCATAGAGTTGTGAATGAATATATATGTGGTTATTTTCATGTATGTCATTCACGCATGCATCTATATATACAAGCTTGAATTATTTGACCATATGCATTATTCATCTCTTAAACACACGTCTTAGACACCTTGGGGCGAACGCAATCAGCGGCCCAATCCCAGACGAAATTGGTGAAATTACAACTTTAGAGCATTTGTAAGTATAAATCATTACACTTTGAGTTTTAACAACTTATTGTTGTATTGAGAAATAATTTTATGGTTTTGCTATTTTCTACAGACAGTTGAAAGATAATCTATTGGAAGGAACTCTTCCTTCTAGTCTCGGAAAATTGACGCAATTACGCACGCTGTAAGAATACTATTTTAAGTGCAAATAATTTTCTTTTATCTTATTAGTTGCATTGTGACTGCCACATTAGTCTTGTTATAGATAATTTTTCATATTGCTTTTAGATGTGTTATCTGTTTCTAAGGATTTGGAACTTGTAGGCATTTTTCTGGAAATAACTTCTTAGGGCCAATGCCCGAAAGTTTTGGTAATCTGGAAAAACTAGAATCTATGTGAGTGGTATAATATTATTTAATCATTTCATTATATTTTATTTTTGATGTTGTGTTGATCTCTTTTAAATTGTTCCTAACATTTTTGTTGTAGTTCTTTAGATGGGACCAATATATCAGGAAAATTACCCAATTTTATTAGGAACTGGACCCAACTCTCAGAAATGTGAGTCTAATATACCCTGTATCATAATGCTTTCCTTTTAAATAAGATGCTTTCCTTTTGAATAAGATACCACTTTACGAACCTAATGTATCGAACTTAATAAGCTCAATGAAATTCAGTGCTTTTATTTTCATTTACTCCACTATTCCATTATATTGTTCTATTTAATTTTTTGGAAATTTTTGGACAAAGAAAGAAGGGAGAATTATTATAGGACTCCAATAAAAGAATGTAAATTCAAGCAACAGCAATTAAGCAACATGTAGTGACAAGATTTAGTAGAAAATGACTATAGGCTTATGTTGATCACTCATCATTTGAATTTATTAGTAATTATATTTTTTTTGCACCTCAAATAATTCTCCAAAAAATTATTGTGTAACATAGAAAAGGATGGGAGGTTGTGTAATGTATAAAATAATCAGTTGTTAATAACTAGTTAAATTCTCAATAGCAGTGGATGAGAGAAAAAAATTATCTATGTGGGAGATATTCACGGAGTGAAAATAAGGAACAAAATTGAACCGAGATATGAGTATGTATGTTAGTCCAAGCTAAGTAAGTAAATAAATAAAATAAAATAATGCAATAATTTTAAATTTTACAATTAAAATTAATCCAAACAAATAGATTATGTGGACTGGGCTTTTAAAGTATTTCCTTTAATTTCAAAAGTGCTGTTTTCACTACTTTTTTTTATCTGGGCAGGGTTTTGCAGGGAACGTCCATGGAAGGCCCTATTCCTACAATCATATCTCACTTAGTAAATTTGCATTATTTGTGAGTACTTGTTCCTTTGTAATTCATCCGCACACTATTTGATGGTTATTGATACTGTTTTGTATTTAATTTTCAATTCAGGACAATAACTGATTTGCGTGGACCGGCGATAATGAGATTTCCTAATCTTGAGAACTTGACATCCTTGAACTGGCTGTAAGTTGAGAATTTACTAGTGAGGTGAAAATTTGTTTAAAAAAAAAGAGCTATTTATATTATCAATGAATTTTCATGCTTTGTTTTTCTCTCAGGGTGTTGAGAAATTGCTCCATCCATGATTCCATTCCAAATTATATTGGTAAAATGGAAAACTTATTTCACTTGTAAGTTGCTTCGTCCTCATACTACGAATCCAAAATCCTCTAAATAATATTCCCAATTTAATGTGTAATTGACAACCTAATTCCTAATTTAGGGCTACTTACTTTTGTTATGGACTATTTATTACTACCAATATTATTTCTTAGTTATTTTTATGAAGCAATATTTGTGGCATCGTGTATTAATTGCAGAGATTTGAGCTTCAACAAGTTGACCGGTGAAATTCCAAACAGTATAAGTAATGTGACCCCCCTAGATAACATGTAAGGGAGCACTCTACACATGTACATAACTTGATTGTTTTTCAGAACTTAATTACTCTTTTTTAATGGATCTTTATTAATTATGTATGCAGGATTCTATCTGAAAATTCTCTGACCGGAAAAATTCCTAATTGGATATTGGACCCGCCAAACAATTATGATTATTTGTTAGTAAAATATTTTTTATTTTAATCTTATTTGTCATTACTACATATAGGTCAATGCCATTACTGTTTGAAATTAATTACCGTAAATGTTATTGACAAAAACATGTTTAGCCTTTAAATGTCTCATCATTTTTAATTAATTCCTTTTGCATAATGTCATTTTGATTTGACCTTTGACATATAAAAAAATTTAGGAGAATTGTTATGAAGTCTCAAAAAAGGACCATAAATCCCAATAACAATAGAACAACATGCAATTATAAGTTTCTATATAAAAAATAACAACCGTCTATTTATCATTACGACTTTGTAGTAATTTTTTTTTACTTGAGATGCCATAATAAAATTTTAATCTGCACAATTTTCTACGCACACTACTTTTTATTAAACTGTCTTGATAATTCAAGATGTCTAAAACTTGTATGACCATTACTTTACCTTATTTTCTTAAGTTTTTAGATTTTCATGTTGGTGCTCTTACTATGTGTAACTTGTCAAGCTTTTATTCACCGAATGTCATTTTGTCTTGAATAAAAAACATGTCTAGATGCCAATTCAAATCAGAATTTTTTAATTTTTTTTAAAAAATAATTCAATCGAATACTAAAAAAAAATTCCCTCCCCCTTCAATCGCTTATAATTAATAATCGGTGGAAGTTAAAACAAGAAAAGCTTGGCCAACCAACTCATCTAAACTTTATCTAACAATATATATATATATATATATATATAAATATAACGGGAAAAAAACTTAATTGTGTAATTTCACACTACTTTCTATTGCAGTGATTTATCTTATAATAATTTTGCGGAGACTTCTGCGACTAATTGTCAGAAGAACAATTTGTAAGCTCCTCTCCTCCACCCTAAAACAACTTTTTTCTTGTTCTTAGAGGCATCACGCAGCAACTCTAAGCCTTTTTTTTGGTTATATAGAAACTTGGTTTCGAGTCTATCATCTTCAGCAAAGACCCCGTAAGATTATACTTATATATGGTTGTCTTGTTTCACTTATTCTAAATGCTTTTGATTCATGTTATGTAACTTTTATATATCTCGTAGATGTACTTGCCTGAAAAGGAGCCTTCCTTGTGGAGGAAAACCCAAGTGTGAGTTCTTAATTAAACTTTTGTACATCAATATTTTCTTACTTGTTTGAGAGTTTCCCACGACATTATCTTTTTTTAATTGTATTTTATTTTTAATAAAAACAAATAAATCACCTAAAAAAAACCCATCATGAACCCTTTCAAGAGTTTTAACTAAATAATGTAGATCTTAGTCAACATAACGGCGAAATAAGAGTTTTATAGACATGCTTTTTGATGAGGTTGTCCCTATGTATGCAGATCATTCATTGTTCATAAATTGTGGGGGACAGAAAATTAAATATGAGGGGAATAAATATGAAGGCGACATCAATCCTGAGCCTGTTTCATTCTTTTGCGATAGTGATGATAAATGGGCTTATAGCAGCAGCAAAATAGATGCAAAAAACTATAATTACATAACAACAAATAGATTTTCCCTCAACATTACTGGTCCTGAATTTTACCAAACAGCTCGTGTTTCCCCTTTTTCTCTCAAGTACCATGGCCTTTGTATGATTAACGGAAATTACAACATCAAGCTATATTTTGCTGAGATTATGTATTCTCATGACCAAGATGTCAATCACGTCGGAAGACGCATATTTGATGTTTCAATCCAAGTAAGTCTCAGTCTCACTATGTTGAATTTAATTTTTGCTATGTACGTTAATAGAAGCTTTGAAAGGTGAAACTTTTTTATGTATATCTTGACAGGGTAAGAAATATTTGCATGATTTCAACATTATGAGGGAAGCTGGTGGCGTTGGTAAGGGCATTGTCAAGGACTTTAATGTTCATGTTAATGATAACACCTTGGAGATTCATTTATACTGGGCTGGAAAAGGAACTACCACTATTCCTAATTATATTAATGGTGTATATGGACCTCTTATATCTGCAATTTCGGTCACCCCAAGTAAGTCAAATCTCATGCATATTTATTGGTTGACGTCTTTTTCTAGCTTAAGCTTGGTGATGACGATTTTGACTTTGATATGAATTGTAAGCATTGTTGCTTTTTGTGAATCTAAAAATAGTTTCTTATCCTTCTCTCCCTTCTCTCTCACCCTGAAGTAATACTCTTAATTTGTCATTTTAGGGTTACTTCAAAAATTAACCGAATTAATACAATATAATGCATTGTCAAGGTCATATTCACTTTGAGGAACCGAAAACGAAATTAAATCTTAGTAAATGAATGCAAGCAACCTAAACTACAAAAAAGATTTTAATTTGATAAATTGCTAACTAAATGTCATCAATTAAATTGAAATTAAAATACTTATTTTTGTTGTTTTTATATGAAAATAATTTCGTAGCAAATGATGGTAAATGAATTGAAATGAAACACACAGGTAAACAATAATAATCAATCCTTCAACTTAACAGCGTGGGCAATACTCACTTCAATAGATGCGAAAGTTAAAACAATGAATTAAGAATTATAGTTAAACTTTTAATCTAACAACCGAGCCAACTCGAATTACCACAAATTATTTTCCAAAATCCTAACTTATTAACTGCAACTAGAATAGTAAAATAGAATTAAAGATGGTAAAAACCAATACTTGATTAGAACTATTAACTCCAAAACAATAGAATTAAAGTTAATAAGAGACATTATGATCCAAGATTCCAA